GCCTCGGGCTGGGGATGTGGCTCAAGCGGTAGCGCGCTCGCCTGGCATGCGTGCGGCCCGGGTTCGATCCTCAGCACCACATACCAACAAAGATGTTGTGTCCGCCAATAGCTAATAAATAAGTAAATATTTAAAAAAAAAAAAAAAAAAAAAAAAAAAAAAAAACACTGGGAGCCTCATTTGCAACAGAGACTGGTTGGCCAGCTCCAATAGCTGGTGTAACACCAGCAGGAAGTCCTGCCCATTCCTCCATTGCTGCCCCAGTTGAGAAATAGGAGAGAGAAGAATCCAGAGTCCAATAATGATGAAGGCTTTCATCTTTTTGACTAAAAATCTAGTAATATACAATAAAAACTGAACTTTGCTGATAGTAAAAACAAACAAAAAACCAAACAAACAAACCCCCCCCCACACACACAAAAAAAAGCTAATAAATTTTAAAGGACAGAGTGGTAGCTCAGTGGTAGAACACTTGCCTAGCATGTGTGAAGTCCTGGGTTCCATTCCCAGCACTGCATAAAAAAAAATTTAAGAAAAGGGGAGAACTTGAAAATATTTATATATTAGATACAAGTCTCTTTGGGCCCTGAGAAACAAGCACACCTTGGCTCTACTGCTATGATATTTACTGAACCCGCCCTACAAGGGAAAGGCACAGCATGGACTCAAGAGCCATAATCTTTCTCACAATCAGGTGCAGCGGTACAAGTCTGTAATCCCAGCAGCATGGGTGGCTGAGCCCCGAGAATCACAAGTTTAAAGCCAGTCTCACCAACTGAGTGAGGCCCTGAGCAACTAAGACCCTGTCTCAAAAATAAATAAATAAATAAATAAATAAATAAATAAATAAATAAATAAATAAATAAATAAATAAAACAAAACGCTGGGGATGTGGCTCAGTGGTTAAGCACCCCTGGGTTCAATCCCTGGTACCAAAAAAGCAAAACCAAACACAGTTTCACATAGTCACATTGTATGTTCTGTGAATGCCTACAATGTACCAAATGCTTTCAAAGGATTTCCAATTTTTCTAATAATTCCACTTACAGATAAGGAGCCAGGATGGAGAAGTCACTTCATCCATCTGAAGTCACTGTATGGATTCAGTTTGACATGACTGCAGCCATCTTGAGTAATAATTGCGATGATTACCCCCGAGTAACCCCAGCAGGTTTTTCCTAGTTTCCCAGCAAACTATAAACAGACCAAATCATCAAAGTGATGTGTGGAGCTTTGCAACTTGGTGCTAGGAATGTACCTAACTCTTTTGATATTGACTCAAGAAAAGCCAGATACACTCCAGCCAGGATGAAGTCATTTTTGTCCTGAACAATACATATGTTCCTCCTTCTAACCTAAGTTGGAGGCATCCACTTGGTCTTGCTACTGCCCACAACTATGCTTGTCAGTAAGTCCCCAATAAATTGCACTCTGTGCAATCCTGGATCTGTCTGCTTCTTTCTTTGGTCTTGACATCACTGAGTTATTCCAGAACATCACTTACTACAAACCCTGAGATAGATTCAAATCTTCCCTTAAAGTCCACTTTTCCCTTACAAAAACACAAACAACATGTTCACTTTGTTATTCCAGTTTTGGGAGCAGGACTTAGACGAGTTAGTTTCTTTCCTTAGGCTAGTTAAAGGTTGAAGATTCAGGCTCCATTTGCTTTCCTTCCCCGTCAAGACCATACCAACTTGTATCAACAGTGTAAACATGTAGTACTCTGTTAACTTTCTCAACATTTGCTGAGGCCCACACTAGGCTGAGTCCGGGGATGCTAGGAGCTCATCACTGAACAGACCTAGATCTACCTTCAGGAAATAGTGTATAGCCCAAGATGCACAGCACCAAGCCCACCTAGTCCTGTGTCACATCTAACAGCTCCTCCTTTGATATGACTGGTGAAGGGGCCAAAATACAGCAGGACTCTCCTCTGAGAAAGGCAAACCCTTCAGCAAAAAACAAGTCACAAGGATTTCAGTCTGACCAAACTCCACAATTTCTATCCACAGATGAGTGTTCCTTGAGTTTGTGGCCATCCATTGCTCTCACCTTTGTATCTGCCTGAAGATTTTGGAGGCCTTCATGAAAGACACCCAAGTAGAAGTCAGAAATGGCATTTGATAATTGATTCAGGCAGGCAATGAAGGTGCACAAGACTCTTTCACAGAAAACACATCTCACTTTGGCCATCTCGAACTTGTGATCTTCCTGCCTCAGCCTCCTGAGTGGCTGGGATTATAGGTGTGTATAGCACCAGTGTGTCTTAAACCCTCTCCTGATGTTGGCTAATCTAATAAAGAATGCAGGGGTTTAAGTCCAGAGTCTGCCAAATTAACAGTGTAGGATTAGAATTTTGAATCATTTGTTTTTTTGTTTTCATTGCATCTTTCTTATTTATTTATTTCTGTATTCAAATTGTATATAAGGCAAGTGATGGCAGAATTCAATAATTTCTGGCAAAGAGGGCTGTGGGTATAGCTTAGTGGTACAGTGTCTGCCTAGCACGCATGAGGCTCTAAATTTAATCCCCAGTACCATACACAAAAATTCTGGCAAGATGTTGTTAGGAACAAAGATAATACTGTACCACAAATCTTAGGCTAAGTCACAGGATTGGCAGTTGTGCAGTTGGCCTGATGATGGACCTATCATACCCTTGGCAATAGTAACTTTGTATATACCACAACTTTTCTTCAGTAAAATGGAGATGCAGATACTCCTCTGACCCCAAAATAAGAATTTAAGAACTATTATGTGTTCAGTGCATCTACATTTTAAATGGTAGGTTCAAGTGCTAAAAATTAGAAGTGGCAAAACATACAAAAGCAAATATCACAAGGGCTGGAGGTGTAGCTCAGTGGTAGGGTGTGTGTGTAGCATGTGTGATGCCATTGGTTGATCCCCAGCACTACAAAAATAAAACAAAAACCAAAAACCCATAACAACAAAGACCACTGTTTCATCTCCTGGTTTTATTAACTAGCTACAGGCACCAAGGTGACAGAGGTAGTCACATTCCCCAATATTTTAGCTTAAGAGGTGTGATTATCATAACCTAGCTAAGTACCAACTATATAATTTAACTTATTCTTTTCCAAAGAATTCTGTTTTCAGGGTACCTGAAGTATGACATCAACAGGATTTACAATTAGATATAGATTTTGAGATTAGGACCTATTTTTCCTTCCAAGCCACTTCCAATCATTGTCAATACACATATGGTAAAACCAAGTTGTTTTTACAAAAACACGTCCCTTCCAAAACCAAACAGTCATACTAATATCAATATCCTCATTTAGTATTAGTTATGTAAAACAATACCATTTAAGGGAAACTGGGTAAAGAGTATTCAAAATGTATTATTTTGCCAATTTCTTGTGAGACTATAATTAGTGTTTTACTTTATTTTTGGTAATGGAGTTTGAATCCAGGGCCTCACTCACACTGCCAGTGCTCTACTACTGAGCAACATCTCCAGCCCTTTTTATTTGAATATGGTGTCATTAAGCTGCCCAGGCTGGTTTCAAACCTGCAATCTTCCTGCTTTAGTCTTTAGAGTAGCTCATGTTACAGGTGTGTACCACCACAGCTGGCTCAACGTATTTTAAAAATCTAAACAAAAATGTTATTCATAAAAAAACAAGAAGAGCTGGGCATGGTGGCACACGCCTGTAATCCCAGCAGCTTGGGAGGCTGAGACAGGAGAATCGTGAGTTCAAAGCCAGCCTCAGCAATGACAATTCACTATGCAACTCGGTAAGACCCTGTCTCTAAATAAAATACAAAATAGGGCTGGGGATGTGGCTCAGTGGCCAAGTGCCCCTGAGTTCAGTCCCCAGTACCCTGCCCCCAAAGAAAAAGAACAAGAGGAGGAAAACACACAAAGAAATAAAGCAAAATATGCATGCTCTTGGAAGAGAGTTTGGGAGTCACCAGACCAATGTAGTACCACTGTCAAGGGACTTGTGTCACACAGTGAAAAAGGATGAAGTATTTTTCTTTTGTTTTTGTGGCAGTGGGGATCAAACCTAGGGCTTTAGGGATGCCAGGGGCAAGTGCTTTACCACATGAGCTACTACATTCCCAGCCTAAAAAGACTTATGTAAAAGGCTCATTACTAGCTCTGGCAGTGAAAAACATTAGTCAACTCTGCTCTACCCAATTCCTAGACCAAAAAGACTGAACTAGCTTCACTAATAAGGAACAAAGAGATAGGGAGTATGGCTCTCCAAACTTGTTTTCAACAACAGCAGTTAGAGAACAGTGCATATAATTTACGTCTCACTCTCATCATTCCACAGTCTGCCAGGGCTCAGACCCCAGTCTGGCCTCACGCTCTTACTGGGTTTCATCTTGCGACCTGCGACTGCACTAGCGAGTCGGCCTGGCTCAGGACAAGCCTGTCCTTTTTCTCCTTTTGCAACACCTGCTCCTCCCAAAGCGCCTGGTCCACCTGATCGTCGGTGAGCACAACAGGCTTGTACTTCTCATCGAAGAGCCGCTCATTGGCCTCGGAGTGCAGCTGGTGGGGTCCGACCACGCGCAAATGTGCTGGCAGGTGCAGGAACTCGTCATCGTTGATGTCGCAGTCGCGCATCCGGGTGCTCAGTATCCACCAGTGGCCCACGAAGCCCACATCCAGGATTCGGCCGGGGAAGTCCACCCAGCGGGGCTGCAGATAGCGGCAGCGGGCCTGGTAGAGGCTGGCCTGGGAGTCGAAGGGCGCCTCGTACACGAGAGAACAGAACCCCAGATTCACATGGCGCAGACGACCGCGGCCCCGCAGCCAAAGGAGCCGCTGCAGGAAGCTTTCGGAATCGCGGTTGCGAGTGGCTGGCGCTAGCAGCAGGAGAGTCCCAGACGCATCGAGCAGCGCCTCCTCGAAGGCCTCCTCGCTCGGCGCCAGAGCGCAGCAGGCTGCGGCGCCGCCCAGCAGTCCCATGTACACTGCTGCGCGCCCCGGCCGAGCCCGCGCCGCAGCCACCGCGTCCCGGCAAGCCTCTGCGTAGTCCCGGAGCAGCGCGCGGGCCCAGTCGCCTGAGGGAAAAGAAACGCTGTCGGAGCCGTTCAGCCGCTGCGGGCACCCATCCCACTGCCTTCCTCCACTACTCACCCAGCCGCGCCCACACGCTTGGCTTCACCGCCACGGCAGCATTTCCAGCCTCAACGCCCCCTTCTCCTCGGCCACGGGACCAAAATCTCTTCAGAGCAGCAGTCGCCATCCTCTTCCGGCCTAGGGCCCTTAGTCCGAAGAGAAACACCTCATACCTGAAGTAAAAGGCTCCCCCTCACGGGGGAGTGGGGAGTAGGGTCTCTTCTGTGAGTTTCCGGACATGGCTTTCCACCGGAGGAGAATAGAAAACGGACCAGCACCGGATGTTGCTTTCTGATCCAAGCTGGGTTGATTCTGACGGGTAGGCATCCCGCGCAGGCGCAGAGAGCCCCGGCCACGCCGGCTAAGGTAGCTTCAGGTGAGGAGGGCGGGGTACCACTGAGGGACCGGGAGGCGAGCTTAAGTCCCGGTGGGTGTTGTTAGCCACGAGGCAGGCCTCGGGGCTGAGGAATAGGGTTTGGGAGGGGCGCGAGCCTGATCGGCCTCTGTCTTCAGAGCGGGATGCGGTGACGCCCCTGAACAACCATGGCAGCGGCTGACGGGTTGGTCTTCCACGGTGAGTGCGGACCCTACGTGGCGGGAACTTCTGCTCCCGCCCCTGGCCAGAAGCTCCCGTGCAGCTTCCATCTCTTACTTAACCCGAATCCCACGCGGCTGTGTACACTGACCCCAGACCGGAAACCTGCCTCAAGAATGAGCCCCATCCGCATTCGAACCGCGCTCCCGTCCTGAACTTAGACTCGGTATCCCGAGGCCCTGAGTCTGTCCGAGGACCAACCCTGAGTTGCATTCCCACGTTAGGAGTAAGGGAACAGTCTTACTTCCCATGCCCCGGAACTGAGGAAGTTGTGCCCTGTCTCGGGAGAGAGTTGAGGTTGCCGCTGTTATAACCTCAGCCCCCGCCATGAGCAGTGGACCATGCACAATTGCCTCAAAACGCGCCTTGTCCCATTTCTCCTTCTCCATAGAATTTGAGGAAGCTACTAATCTTCTGGCTGAGACCCCAGATGCAGCTACCACCAGCAAAAGTGATCAGCTGACCCCAAAAGGGCACGTAGTTGTGGCTGTCGGCTCTGGTGGCAGCTATGGAGTAGAGGAAGAGGTGGAGGAAGAGGGTGACAAGACAGCGGTGAGTCACCTAAGTCCCATTCCCTGACTCTGACCACCCCTGGCTGAGGTAGGGTGTAAGAGCAAGCACTGAAATCCCACACTCTGCAGCTTTTACAGGAGGAGAAGCCACAGCCGGGATTCTGGACATTCAGCTACTATCAGAGCTTTTTTGATGTGGATACCTCACAGGTGAGGCCTGGAAGCTGATGGGAGGGGCTCAGAATCATGCTGGCTGTTCAGCCAGTATCCACTGAGCACCAAGCTGAGCCAGAGTGCTGGTAACAGCTACATGGGAAAACAAGTGCTTCTACCCAGGCTAGTAAAAGGAATGGTGGTATTTTCTAAGGATTTTGGTGATGGGCTGTGGGAACAAAAAGGGGGGACCCCCCTACATGCACATGATCTGGTGAATAGGGAAAGGCCTCCAGGAGGAAGTGAGGAATTTGCTGAGACCTAACAGAGAAAGGAGGGTTACCCAGGAAGGGTGGATGGGAGCACAAATTATGTTCCAGACACAGGAAACAGTATATGCGAAGAGTAAAGGCGAGAGGAGTCATGAACAGTAGTAGAAACTACCTATCACTAAATCTGGTGGGAGAGTGTGAGATGGGGGACAGGCAGAAGGCAGATCACAGAGGACCTCATACGCTGTTTTTAGTTTTTTTGTGTTTACTGTTTTGTTTGAGATGGAGTCTGGTCTTGTTGCCCAGGTTGGCCCCAAACTCATGGGCTCAAGAGGGTCTCTTAGCTCAGCCTCCTGAGTAGCTGGGACTACTCATGTGCTAACTTGCCCAGCCATGAGCTGTGTTAAGGAGTTAGAGTTTGGGTTTTATTCTGAGGGTGTTGGGGAGTCAGAAGGGTCAGAGCAGGAGAGGAATGAGATGACCAGATGTGCACATGGATCAGGGCTCTAGACCAGGCTTTTTTTTTTTTTTTTTTTGCGGTCCGTGCTAGGGGGATACTTGGGATTGAACCCTGGAGTCCTGTACCACTTGTACCGCTTGAGCCACATCCCCAACCCTCCAGGATTCAATTTTAAAAAATAATTTAGGGCTGTGGATGTGGCTCAAGCGGTAGCGCGCTCGCCTGGCATGCGTGCGGCCTGGGTTCGATCCTCAGCACCACATATCAACAAAGATGTTGTGTCCGCCAAGAACTAAGAAAAAATGAATAAATGTTAAAATTCTCTCTCTCTCTGTCCCTCTCACTCTCTCTTTAAAAAAAAAAAATAATTTAAAAAAGGCTTAGAGGCGAGGGCAGGGAGTATAGCTGAGTTGGTAGAGTGCTTGTCTAGGATGCATAAGGCCCTGGGTTCAATCCTCAACACCCCCCCCCCCCCGCCAAAAAAAAAAGGCTTAGAGGGGCGAGCTGAGCTCTTTCAGGTTGGGCATGGAGAGAGGAGAAGAGAAGAGGTCATTGGGGAAAGAAACTCCCAAAGTACAGGAGGAACCCTGGGCAGCCTTCCATCCTGGACTGTGGCTTGTCTTTCAGGTCCTAGACCGGATCAAAGGCTCGCTCCTACCTTGGCCTGGCCACAACTTTGTACGGCACCATCTGCGAAACCGTCCAGATCTGTATGGTGAGTAAGTTTGTGCATTTGATTATTCATTCAGCACGTGTGGACCAAATGGCAGGTGTTGCTGTACAGCTGAGAACAAAGTAGTCACCAAGAGTGAAACTTGTGTTCTGTTTAGGGAGACAGAGACATAAGAGACGGTAGTGGATGATGGGGCTGAGAAGAGAAGGGAAGCAGTGTAGAGTGGAGGGTGATGCTGTTGTGTCTGTGTGGGTCAGAGAAGGTCTCTGAGGAAAGAGAATGAGCCTTATTGGCAAGTATTGGTCAGGGGTGGACAGATCTAGAGGAGGAGGGTCCCAGTAATGGCCCAAGCCTTAAGGTAGAGACATCCCTGCACTGGAGGGTTGCACTGTCACTGAAAAAAGTGAGCTGTTGGGATGTCACTGAAGTGCTGGGACAAGTGGCACAGGCTCCCATACTGTGGTGAGAAAGGATCTTAATGAGGTGTTCCTAGGTTCCCCTCTGGCCACATCAGGGGTAAGGTTGGAAGATAGGAGACCAGGCAGGAGACAGCTCATGGAGGCTGAGGACAGAGAGTGGTTGGTTCTGGGATGTGTTATAGAGGCAGAACCAACAGGATATTGCTGACAGACTAGTCAGGGTGGTGAGGGAAGCAAAGGGTACCCCCAAGGGTTTTGGCCTGGACCACCAGCATAGTTGCTGTGGGTGGATGGGAAAAGCTGGGCAGGTTGGAGGGGAAGGAGCAAGTTTGGGATGGAGATGGAGACACCTCAAAATGTCCACCTTGAAAAGTGAACATGTATGAGTATACAGTTTGGGACACTCTACCATCTGGGAATCATCAGTATAGAAATAACAGGGAACCCTGAGGCTGAACAAGACTATGCCAGGGGTGAACAGGGACATGGAGCAGGGCCAAGGACTGAGCCCTACCTGCTTTCCATTAATGGCTTTATCAGAGTTGAAAAAGTTGAGGAATTGCTGCCAGTGATGTGAGACAAGAGCTAGAGCACGGGGTTCTAGCCATATGGAGCCTTCCCAGGCAGAGAAGGATGAACTAAGAGGCAGCATTAAATCCAGCCACCAGAATGTCCCAACTGAGAGTCAAATGAGTGGCTGGGGTCCCCCTGACCTACCCAGCAATAGAGACAAGACACATTCACCCCCTCTGGGAGCATTGAGCCCGGGATTTGGACTATGACTTCCTCACAGGCCCTTTCTGGATCTGTGCCACCCTGGCCTTCGTCCTGGCAGTCACTGGCAACCTGACCCTGGTGCTGGCCCAGAGGAGGGACCCCTCTGTCCACTATAGCCCCCAATTTCACAAGGGTAAGTAGAGTGGATGGGCTCAGCTCCTGGCAGCCACAGGCCCCAGGTCATGAGAGGTAACTGCTGCCTTGCCTCCCAGTAACTGTGGCAGGTATCACCATCTATTGCTATGCGTGGCTTGTGCCGCTGGCGCTATGGGGTTTCCTGCGGTGGCGCAAGGGCATCCGGGAACGCATGGGACCTTACACTTTTCTAGAGACCGTGTGCATCTATGGCTACTCCCTCTTCGTCTTTATCCCCACTGTGGTGAGTATGGCCTGGTGATAGGTAGATGGTAGGAGCCAAAGGGATCATCTGGTACAGTCACTAACAGCCCCTGTCACCTCAGGTCCTGTGGCTCATCCCTGTGCCATGGCTGCAGTGGCTTTTTGGTGCACTGGCCTTGACCTTGTCAGCTGCTGGGCTGGTGTTCACCCTCTGGCCTGTTGTCCGTGAAGACACTAGACTGGTGGCTGCAGTGCTACTGTCCACTGTGGTGGTGCTCCATGCCCTCCTGGCCATGGGCTGTAAGGTATGGTTCCAATGGCCCCAGGCTGGGTTGTGGGGCAGGAGTGGGTTGCTTGCCTGCCTTTATCACTGACCCCAAGGGTCTCTTCAGCTGTACTTCTTCCAGCCGCTGCCTCCAGAACACGTTGCACCTCCATCTCAAGCCACATCTCTGCCCCCAAACATACTGCCGACACCCACCATGACCCGGTCCATGGCAACCTCCTAGGAAGGCCCATCCTATAGGTAAAGGACCATTTCTGCTTTGTCTGAGGGGGTACCTTCCCTTCTCTCTTGGGCTGCTTCTAGAAGTCTCTCTCTTTCAGGCAAAACCTGAAGGGACATGCCTGTCCTGTTCCTGGTGATGACTGAAGTCTCCCTCGACCGCTTGAGACCGCTCTGCTACTTTCCAGACTTTTCTTACAAAGCAAACACTTTTTATTTTCTATGCAAAGGTGATCCAGAGAATTCATATAAAGGTGGGGGAGGGGCAGCTGAGCAGGGAGCTTCCAAGGTGGCTCAGGCAACACAGCTGCAGGACAGGTCTGGACTCCCAAGCCCTCCAGCCTGCCAGTGGGCCTTATGCTTTCCCTGACAGCTCTGCCAAGGACAGGAGGAAGGAGGGCAGCCTGGCTAGTGGGAAGCCCAGCCCTTCCCTGGGGACACAGAGTGGGTGTGAGGCCTAGCCTGAGCTCCAGCTTCTGAGGTTGGGGGTGCTAGGAACAAGGGGAGCAGAAGTAGAAGAAAAT